CAGTTATCTCTTCCTGTTATTCAACATCTATTTTTTAACCACTGGAAGAGCTCTTCCTGTTATTCAACATCTATTTTTTAACCACTGGAAGAGCTCTCATCATGTACAAAATTTTGGTAAATATGCTGATTTACATTTAAACAACATGGGCTAAAGTATGAATAGTATATAGGCAACACCATCTCTTTATGTCAAAGGTAAACAGCACCATCTCCCAGCATTCTCAATAATTTACTCAAAATTTACACCTGGCTGGCTAATGCTGAACCCAGACAAGACTAAGGAAATACTGACAAGAAGAGAGAAGTTCTGCAGGAAATTCAAAGGTTAAGATTACTATCGCAACATTAACTTAGTCATATTAAAACATATATTTAACAGCACAGCCCCCAAAATATTGCTTCTGTCATGTGTGTGCCGTGGCCAAGCTATAGTTGCTGTGGGAACCATAACTGAATTTTCTAACTTTTTGCATGTTCAATTTTGCATTAACATACCCCTTTGAATTTATTTTTAGTACTATACTCTAAGGTCATATGCTGCATGTTTTTTCTTTACAAGCATAAACATTTTATCATTTAAAATAAAGCTAAATCCTATATATTCTTTAAATGACTATAAGATCTGCATAGATATTAACAGAAGTAGGAACATGATTCAGGAACAATTACCAAATTTCAATCTGGTTAATTTTTTGTGTATAAAATAAAAATGGGAGTGTTATAATTATTGTCTTTTGAGCATGGTATTAAGAACAAACCTTTACTTGTTATATTGATGTGTTTTCTGGAGCCATTTAAACACAGTAAGAGGAAAGCATCTCAACCCTAATTGGTGTAAAAACCTTGAAATTCCCATAAACAAATATCTATGATGCCTAAATTATCAATTGAAATTAATGGGAATAATTTTATTTTTCTTACCTGTGAAACATTCATTATGTGTGACTATGACTCGTGGATATAATGAATGAACTGAGAAATACATATATCTGCCACTGGTTTAGCAATTGGCAGACATTTCTTCCTCCCCTCCCCCTATAGCCATATGGTACGGTAAATAAGTGCTATAGGGTTTCCTAAGCTAGGTACAGTCCAGATTTCTTGTTGAAAATATAGTTCCTATACGATAGCTCTTGCATAGTACACAACGTTTGTCCCCTACAAGCACCTCTCCCTGCCTGTGCGTTCAACAGCCGGATAATAACCTAGAAACTGATCTCACACACCCTGTGTTTAGCATACACCTTGGGAGAGAGAGACGACCGGGTGAATCAAAGAGCTTAGTGCTGGCAGCTTAAAAGGGGGCCATATGCCCTGCCTGGCTGCTCTAGTGGTTTTCTCTAGGTTGGTCTGACCCACTCAGGGGGCGCCGCTCATTAAAACAAAGGAGTGGGAGTGGGGTTGGGAATGGGACCCTCCCTGTAACATCAGGGGGAGCAGCAGTGTAACGTCGCCGGCCTTTGTGTGGGGCTGACCAAGGCTCCCCTAGAGAGGGGAAGGGGGCTCCTCCCCCGGGGTAACACTGCGGGAGAAGCCGTGGCCCTGGCACAAGGAGGGCATGAAAGTCCGCCCCAAGGGCGCTCCGTGTGGCACGAGGGTTTCTCGTCCCAGCATCTGGGCCACAGGCCCCGCTCCCCCGCGGGGAGGAAAGGAGCTGCCCCGCTCTCCCCGTCCCCGCTGCTGCAGGGTGTGCCGCTGGGGCAGGGCCAGCTGGAGCCCCGCTGCGGAGGCTGCGCTCTGCCCGAGCCGGCTGCGGAGGCTGCAGCGAGACACAGGATGGGCCGGGGGCCATGCTGCTCTGGCTGCGTCTCTGCGGCTGCCTCCCCCGCCTCCCGGCTCCGCCACGGCGGCTGCTGGGTTAATTGATTCAGGGCCCGGACTGGCACTCAGAGCCCTATGGGGCGGCGTGGGGGGGGGAGGCTCTCCCTGCCTCCCACCCCTCCTGTTCCTATAGTAACACTGAAATACCTCCAGCGCCGGCAGGGCTCGGAGGCGCCTCTCCGGATTGGTGGAGTCTCTGGCTGGGGAGGGAGGGACGGGAGGGGGGCAGAGCAGGGAGCGGAGCTGGGGCAGGCCCGGCAGCAGCAGCAGAAAGCTGAGCGCATCCTCCTCCTCCCCGCCCCCCACCGTGCCGCGGCCACTCGAGTTCCCATGGAGACTGTGTGTGCAGCAGCAGCACCTGGATGGGCAGCAGCCTGGAGAGATGCAGGACCATAGAAAGGCACCCACCCACGCTGACACCCCAACACGTGCTGCTGCCGAGTGACACTGACACCCCAACCCTGACACACTGACACCCCAACACATACTGCTACCCAGTGACACTGACACCCCAACCCTGACACACTGACACCCCAACACATACTGCTCCCCCACGGACACCCTAACACATACTGCTACTCAGTGACACTGACACCCAACCCTGACACACTGACACCCCAACACATACTGCTACCCAGTGACACTGACACCCTAACACTGACACACTGACACCCCAACACATACTGCTACCCCACTGACACCCCAACCCTGACACACTGACACCCCAACACATACTGCTACCCCACTGACACCCCAACCCTGACACACTGACATCCCAACACATACTGCTACCCAGTGACACTGACACCCTAACACCGATATACTGACACCCCAACACATACCACTACCCTGTGACACTGACACCCCAACCCAGTGATACTGACACCCCCCCAACACATATTGTTACCTAGAGACACTGACACCCTAATACTGATAAACACTGATCCCCAACACACACTGCTACGCAGTGACACTGACACCCCCAATAGACTGACACTAACACCCCAACACACCAGTACTGACACAGTCATAATAACACCCACCCCCAACACATATTGACACCCAATGACACTGACATGCAGTGAAACTGACCCGTGCACATTACTACACATACACCAGTACTGACACACACAGTCATAATCACACACACACCAACACACATTGCTACCCAATGACACTGACACCCTATCACTGACATACACAGTGACAATGACACACTACCAATACTGACTCATGCATTGATATTTACACACACACACACACACACACACACACACACACACACACACACACACACACAC